ACCCCCAAATGATCCCTGTTTTAAGCGTTCTTATATACATGTCTCGTGCACTGTTTAATTTAAACAAACACTTTTGAACAAAAAAATATATATATTTTGGACAATGCCTGACAAAGAGTAAATGTAATTTAAGTATGTATTAGCCATTATTATTATCATTATTATTCCTCCCTCTGGAACTCATGAATTGGACATTATGTAAATGCAAGCTGGAAGTTTTGTAAATATTCAAGAAAGTACTCTGACATTAGAAATGACAGAATTCTTAAATGGAATGTAAGAAATAACCCATGAAGCAAACCAGAAAAAAACAATTTTGAGAAGACAAAGGGTAACAGAAGTCAAGTAGTTACCAGATGAAAGAGGGTGACATGGACATACATATTATTAGGTCCAGAACAAAAAGAATTTACAGACACTAAGGAGTCATGTCGAAGTTTAAACCTGGACATGAAAAAATGGAAGTATTGTGATGAGGAGGAGGATGATGACACTGAAAGTAGCTAATCACATCCAATACCAATTAAGTATCTACCACACTCCTGACTCTTATGTTGGAACTGAACTTGCATTAAATGGCACAACCCCATGAGGTACATACTATTAGGAAGTAGAGATATGAACAAGTCAGGAAACTTACATAAGGTCACACAGCTAGTACAAACTAAAGGACTCAAACCGTGTATTTCTCTATGACTGCAAGGCCCATTCTCTTAAGCTACAGTATAATCCACACCTACGATGGATCCTAGGGTCACTTTATAGTTTTAGCAAAACTCAATACAATGTTTCTGAAGGCACTTTATTAACTGAATTAACTAGATACATTCAAATCCCTTGGAGTGCCTCCATTCAGAAGCACACTGAGAACTAAGATGGTACTAAGTTTAGAGCTAGGGATAAAATATAGAAGATTCAATCTATGTCCTTGGTAAGTGGCATCTACTGTATACATTAGCAGAAATCAAGCTATATTAAAATAATCCAAACCTGAATAGCTCTGTGTTTCAGCTGTTTGCAGAAAGCCCTCACATCAAATTCTGATGACTCTGCTGTGGAGATGGAAAGATCAAATACAAAAACTTAGGCATACCATTTTCAAATCAACAAATTCTTAAGTGCATGATGATATGTCTTGCCAAATTATTAAAAAAAAAAAAAAAAAAAAAAAGGAGAGGAAGCAAGCACAGAACTATAAGACAATAGGAACAACTTTAAATGTTCAAACTTAGAAAACACATGTATTACTTACCATACCTCTTTGAAGACAATCAATGTGTGTTAAAAATAAAAGGTATGGGATTTCTTCTATGCAACCCATGAGTATATTTTAACTTCAACTTTTTCTTAAGTATGTGTTATATCAAAGCATATTACCTTTGAAGATTTTCTTATTCTTTACTGGCTCTCCAAGATCCACATTATTCTGTACATTGATCTTCATTTGATTAGCTTTATTGGAACTCCTATGTGAAGTTTCTCCACTGCACCTCAGTGATCGTTCTTTTGTTGAGAACAGTTTATTTAGCAATTTAGTGACTCCCTTAGCTGCAAAAGCTGTAGGCATTTTTTTCTTAAAGACCTCTAAATAAGACTGTCCTAAAAATTCAACAATATCAGAAGGAAAGGTAAAATCTTTGAAGTAAGGCAATGGGTGAATCCTTGAAACCTCCTGAAGCAATCCAAACAATGGCTCATATAAAGAAATCAGCCTTTTTAAAACACCTTTATAGAGAACCCTAGAGAAAGAAATAGATCATAAATGAACCAGTAACTACAATTTGCAGATTACATAATTACCACAATTCAAAGCTGAAAATAAATGCCTATCAACTTACCACTAAAGATAAAAAACCCTATCGCACATATTTGCAAATAGTCAGATTAATCTAGCCTTAATAAAAAAACCCCAAGCACAAAATGTTACTTAAGCCTTAGTTGGTTTGGCTCAGTGGTTTGAGAGTTGGCCTGCAGACTGAAGGGTATCAGGTTCGATTCCAGTCAGAGTCACATGCCCAGGTTGCAGGCTTGATCCCCAGTATGGAGTGTTCAGGGGGGCAGCCAATTCATGATTCTCAATATTGATGTGTCTCTCTCTTCCTCTCTGAAATCAGTAAAAATATATTTAAAATATCAGTTATTTAAAACACACACATAACAAAATGTTACTTAAAACTAACTGAAGCCCTAACTGGTTTGGCTAAGGGGATAGAGCATTGGCCTGTGGACTGAAGGGTCCCAGGTTCAATTCTGGTCAAGGGCATGTACCTTGGTTGCTGAGACATCCATAGGGGGTGTGCAGGAGGCAGCTGACCAATGCTGTCTCTCATGGATGTCTCTAATTCTCTATCCCTCTCCATTCATCTCTCTAAAAAAAAAATTTTTTTTTTTTTTTTTTAAAGCATAACTAAATGGAAAAGCTGTCTCAAAGGATATGGACCAAAATCCTAAGTTTGGCTTTATCTAGGTGTTGAGATGTTAGGTAAATTTCAGGTTTTTTACATTTTTTCCTGAATTTTAAAATTTCTTGAAATAGCATGTTTTATTGTTGTAATCACAAAAGTTATTTTCATTATACGCAAGAATGATTGTTTAACATTTAAAATAATACAGTTAATAATTTTAACATTGTTACCTCTAAGAATAAGTAGAAAAAAAGAATGACTGGAAACAGTGGTTAAGATATCCAGGTTAAGATAGCAAAGCAAGGTTTTTAATCTCCGAGACAATTTTTAAAAAAATATATATTTTATTGATTTTTTTACAGAGAGGAAGGGACAGGGATAGAGTGTTAGAAACATCGATGAGAGAGAATCATCAACCAGCTGCCTATGGCACAACCCCCAATGGGGATGTGCCTGCAACCAATGTACATGCTATCCACTGAGCCAAACTGGTTTTGGCTCCAAAGACAATTTTTGTTTTTGTTTTTCTTAATTTTAATTTAGAGATAACCATCCCAATTGTCTAAAACGGCCCAAATCTGGTCTCTTTACAAATATGGGCAGATTTCAAGTCCAATTGTCCATCAAGTAAGCTTCATCTTATATAATAAAAGACTAATATGCAAATCGACCGAACAGTGGAACCATCAGTCACTATGACATGCACTGATCACCAGGGAACAGACACTCAACTCAGGAGCTGCCCCCTGGTGGTCAGTGCACTCCCACAAGGGGGTGCACCGCTCAACCAGAAGACAGGCTCACAGAGCCTCTCCCACCTCTGCCACAGCCCTAAGGATGTCCATTTACCAGCTTAGGCCCGCTCCCTACTAACCCATCAGTGGGACATCCTCCGAGGGCTCCTGGACTGGGAGAGGGTGCAGGCTGGGCTGAGGGACCCCCTACTTACCAAGTGCACAAATTTTGTGCACTGGCCTCTAGTAATATATAGAGATGCAAGAGAAGGTCTCTTTACCTTTCAGCTACTTCCAGTGTTCTTATATCAACTAACTGTATTTCAAAAAGCAGTAATATTTCAGGTGGAGAAAAAGGATTTGCAGTTCATAAGGAAGATCATGCCATTAAGAATTGTAAATCTAGAGGCAAAAAGAATTGATTGATACAGCCTGCAAGAAAAACCTTCACTTTAAATGGGCCAGCTGCTGTATGATTACAGCAATGATTTTTTTAAAATTATTATTCTAATGGTTAATCCTAGGATTTCATTTGCTTAATTGTTTAGTGTTGAGGTGGTCTCTTGCCTTCAGATTTAAAGCCTAATCTTTTGACATAAAACACTTAGCTTCCAAATCCACCCCACATAAACTCTGATCAAACGAAACAGAACTCCCACAAGTTGAGCATCCCCTGGGAAAATAAATATGAAAAACAGTCAGAAACCTAGGCTGAGTTAAAGAGATGAAAAAGAAATGATCTCACAGGCGTGTACATACATACCATAACCTGCTCACCAGCCCAACCATCACAAGGTTTAAAATAATGAATTCTTGCAAACCTAGGTGTTTCACGGTCAAACTGAAGAATTAAGTTAAAGTTAGAAAACAGAACCAAAGTAATTTGGATTTTGTAAGTTATGTTTATGAAGGAACTAAACTGGAAATAGAATTTTTGAGGAATTAAAGCCTTAAAACATGTTCTATTTAACTCATGGAAACTTAAAATACAGTTGTATATGCTCTGCTAGAGCTCTCATTATTAAACTAAGTTCCTAAGGTTTAGTTTCTAAGATTAAGAATTTCTGTCAATGTCCTAAGGATAATACATTTCATATGAGAGAGATATAGGCAGTCTCTGGCAATGGTAGTATGAAGCAATTCCTGGGGAAAAGAAGCCAAGAAGCAAATTTATAAGAATTACATAGGTTATAACTGCTATAGATCTACAGACCCCCTAGCTTTCAAACAGAAATACTACTAAACTTATCCAAACAATTCCAACTGAGAAACAGGAATTTCAGTTGCTTCAAGGATACAGAAATGTCTTACAGCAACAGTCTAACAAGCGAAGTAACAATTTGCAGGCTCCCAAAATCTTCATCAGCACAAATTCCACCACTGGTTGGCTGGGGATGACACACGCTTTGGTAGCTACAGGCCGATTTTCACTTGACAAAAACAGAAAAGTGTATTACTTTCATTATTAAATTGAAACTACTTTTAAATATAACGTTGGAAAAGAGAACCAAAGTAATTTGGATTTTGTAAGTTACATTTATAAAAGAACTAGCTTGGAAATAGAAAGTATTCAAGTATAGTTCCTTTAAGCTCAATTTGAGCTAGTTATGCTCAAATAGGACTCACTGAATTTCATGGACAATGATGTTTCAATATAATCTTACCGTGTCTCAGATTTCAAGTGACACCAGTCCCTCCCACAAGCCAACAAACGGAGATTACAACAAATACCTGCGCCCCTCATTAAAACACTTGTATAACTGAGGTATAATTGGTTATATTCCAACACCAAGAAGTTAAAAAATCCAAAGGGAGATCACAGCATTTCAGAGTTCTCACCACAAAGCAACTAACCACTTACTTGAAAGAAAACAACTCAGACAGATCCTGAATTGAACTCTCCAAATTCATGTTTTTCAAACGTTTTAAACACTGTTCAACCTGAAAGGGGAAGAGCAGTTCAAATTCATATGTATATAATACAGACAAGGCCATGATGGGACCAGCAAAGCAAAGAAAAGGAAAATTTCAAAGTATGGAAATATACTGAATACCATAGAATACCCTTTTATTTTTTAAGTGTAAAGAAATCTGTAACTCAAAGCAATTGCTTCTGGCTAAAAATCTAAAATTTATGCAGCAAAACAAATTTCTCAAATCACATTAAAATCGAGAATTTATTATGTGTGATGCTATAAACTACACCAAAGTAAATATAAGATTATTCTCAAGATTATAATTTTTCTGAAGCTCAATTTCAGAAAGCTCAATTAGGAAAGTGATCTGTCTATTCATTTTACAAATGCATACTGAATACCTACTGTGTGCAAGGCATGCTGGGAAATAAACACTAACCAATTTCTAGTTACTAAAAATTTACTAGTAAATTAGTTTGTGTATGCGTGTGCGTGTGTGTGCATTTAATTAAATGTTGAGATTAAAAGATATGCCTTATTTAAAATTGCAATCCCCTTAGCACTTTTTATCCATAGCAATTATCACCATTTGACATTTGATTAACTAACTGCCTTTCTCCTCTCAACTGTAAGTTCCATGAGAACAATATATTTTGTTTATTTTTCCCACCACTTTACTGAGTACTGAGCACTGAGTAGGCATTCAATCCCATTTTTAATTAAAGGAAAAAATCGTAGCCATCCATTATACAAAATGTGTCAAGAATTCTGTGGTCCTCAGGAAATACCGCAAAAAGGGCATGCATGGGTCTGCATCCAGACTGAAGGATGTCAAAATCTAGATGCTCACTGATACTGCCAAAGATAGTATCTTGCTAGAGCTACATATAAGCTACTAAAAATCCAATCAAAGTTATGGATTCTTTCTTAACAGAATAGTTTTCAAAACAATGGCAGCAACATTCCCTAAATTCTCTGGGGTCAGCTCTTTTTCATTTTTTTAATTATGGACACCATTCTTTGAGAGAAGTACTGACAAACCAAGATGGTAAAGCACCTGGGGAACACAGTAAGTGAGCTATGTTTCAAACAAAGGCGGGAAGGGGGCTTGAGAAGTTTATCAAGGAAGAGAGAACATAGAGAAATGTAAAAACAATTTTATATATACTATGTGTGTGTGTGTGTGTGTGTGTGTGTGTGTGTGTGTGTGTGTGTGTATTAATTTTAGGGAGGAAGGAAGGAGAGAGAGAAACATCAATGATGAGAGAAATCAATTGGTTGCCTCTTGCTTACACCTGACTAGGGACAGGGATTGAGCCTGCTTAGCAAGGTATGTGCACTAGACTGGAATCAAGTCTGGGTTCCCTGAGTCTGCAGGCTGATGTTCTATCCACTAAGCCCAACTGGCCAGGGCAGACAGTCTATATACCCAAAGTACTGTCACACAGAAGAGAAATCAAAACTATTTTCTATTCTCCTTTGGGGAACATTGGAGTGAAAATAATTCCAGTAGCTAGCTTTTGAAGGTAGAAAAAATAAATCTTAAAGTAGATGAAAGTTCTTTGCAAACTGATATGTTAAGCAGATATATAAGGCAGTAGGAGTAAGAGTAATACTAAGTGTACCAGTATCATGAGACATGCTCCCTACTCTAAGGGATAGCAGGGACGTGAAACATGTACACAAATGCCTGTACTACAACACAGACCATGCCAAATGCTGAAAGAGAAGCTCCAATAGCCAAGAATCACAAAACGCATTCAACTTCACTAATCAGAAAGATGCAACTTAAAATGAGATTACCATAATAAACATCATGTTACCCCCTGGGAAGAAGTGATTACTGAAAGAAGACTTGAAATGGAACTTAGAGGATGAGAAGGCTTTTAATAGGCCGAGATGGAGGGGACTAGGCCTTCCAAACATACAGGAGCAGGTAAGCAAAGGCTCAGGTGAGGGGACAAACATGGTGAAGACTCGTGAAGAAATCAGGTTGCCTGGGATGTAAAAGAGATGAAAGCAAGAGAGAAGCCTGAGCTAGGAAAACTGAATTGGACAGATCATGGAGGATCCTATAAGCCATCCTAGGAGGTTTGGTCTTTCTTCAGGAGACAGTGTAGGAACATTAAAAATCAAAGCTGTGATAAGTACAACCAATGGACACAAAACTCTGGGGAGGAAGGGTATGTACAGGAGGGGCGGGGGTTAGTATATGTACAAAAATAATAATTTAACAAAAATAATATTTTAATTAAAAAAAAAGAAAAAAAATCAAAGCTGTGTTTTAGGTGATTAATCTATTTTGCTTTATAGAATATATGAGAGCAGAGGAAAGACAACTAAAACTTGACATGGCTAAAAAAAAAAAAAGATGCAGCCAGAACTAAAAGGGACCAGAAACAGAGGCAGTTTTGACTAATTCAATTAGATGGCACAGCTACATAAAAGGAAGCAGCAGAGAAAATGGAACACCAAATTTTTCTGACTAGGTTATTATTCACAACTTGGAATCCAAGAGGAGAAATCTGCTCAATCTGAGATAAATTTGTTTTTGGAATTAAAGACTCAGAGGAGATAAAGCTGCCCAGACATGAAAACTTAGGGAAAGGCCATGATCCCAGTTCTTTGATGAAGAAACAGTCACCTTTTATATCTTAAGTAATGGGAGTAGAAATTTAACCAGAGAGCATGAATCTGTAAGTATAGACTCAGTTTCCGTATATAACAAACTATGAAGTAGCAGTGTGATCTCCATCTTCATCAAGCAAACATGCTGAGTCTCAAACACAAGGCTTCCTCCTTACCTGTTTGAGGGCCAAATGGGGCTTGTGGCGGCCCATTCTGTTGTGATTGCTGTAAAGGACTGCACACAGCACATCTGTTTCTGCATCTAAGGTCTGGCTCTTCAGTGACAGGGTAACAAGCCAGCATTCTCTAAGTACAGCTGCAATACAAAGGTCTAAAGCAGAGAATTTTAATAAGACTTACTATGTATTTCTGCATTAAGTGTATTATATAAAAGGAAGGGAGCATGTTTTCTCGTTTTTAAGGATATTTTATTTATTGATTTGAGAGGGGGGGGTGCTGGGGTAGGGAGAAACATTGATTTGTTGTCCCACTTATTCATGCATTCACTGGCTGATTCTTGTACGTGCCCTGACTGCAATCTTCGGGTATTGGGATGATGTTCTAACCAACTGAGCTACTTGGCCAGGGCTCCTTGTCAGTTTTAAAACAGCGTTTTTCAATCTTTTTCGTCTCATGTCACACATAAACTAATTACTGTGGCACACACACACACACACACACGCACACACAAAAAAAAATTTTTTTTTTTTTTTTTTTTTTTTTTTGCTGAACTGACCAAATAAATAGGTATGATTCTGATTGATTCATTAACACTAGACAGCTATGGTTGGGTTGCTTGTTGTCATTTATTTTTATTTGACATTCTAAGGGAAAAGCGGTCAGTGGCCATAAACAGTCAAGTAGTACATGTTTTAAAAATTCTTGTGGCTCTAACCAGTTTGGCTTAGTAGACAGAGTGTCACCCTGCGGACCAAAGGGTCCCTGGTTCGATTCTGGTCATGGGCACATACTTTGGCTGCAGGCTCCTGCCCAGCCCTGGTCGGGCTCATGCAGGAGGCAACCAATGGATGTGTTTCTCTGTTAATTTCTGTCTTTCCCTCTCTCCTCCACTCTCCCTAGAAATCAACGGAAATATATCCTTGGTGAGAATTAACAACAACAACAAAAATATTCTTGGGGCATACTGACTGAAAATCGCTGTTTTAAAGGAATCAAAAATAAATACATAATTAGCCTTAACTCTAAAGATGTAATTAATAATTAAATATGTAAGAAGCTGGAAAACAGTGACAGATTATATAGTCTAAAAATCAAGAGAATGTCTGTTACACAAGTGTGTATACCTGCATCACATTTTATCACAATTTTAATAATCTTTCACAGGAGTACTTTGCAGTCAGTCATTTGGTGCACACTTACCCCTTTAGTACCTTTAAGGTGGGGCACATATTGTATTGTGTATTTCTCTGAATCCCCCTTTTGTTAAGCACAAAATGCAAGACGGACTAGATAAATTCATGCACTAAAAGCCAAAGATACTGCCTTTCAGTACCACTTTAAGATAAGAACATATTAAGAAAAGAGAAACTCGCATGGCAACTGGAAATTGCTTGGTGAGTGCCTGACTGAGCACGGGCTCAGCTGGAGACAACCGTTCCCCAGTGGAAAGAGCTATCTATGTGTTCTGTATGGCTCACAGGGTAGCACTAGCACCCTGTGTGGTGTTTACACAACATGGAGGACCTGCTTTTGTCCCACCTACCTGAAGCCAGGATGGGTTGCCTTGGGGATGGGGAGTGAGCTGGTATATTTCCAGTTAAGGAATCCTATTAAGGAATTTATGAATAGAGGAAGAAAGAAGGGGATCTGCAAACTGCATAGGACAGATGGATGTGCAAGAGGATGTGATGATTCGATGGGTTAAAAACATATTAATAACAACAGATATCAGTTAAGTGTTTGTTTACTGTAGCAGGCACTGCTCCAAATGCTTTACCTATGACACTAACTCTTTCCTTCCTCATCAGAGCCCTAAGAACCAGGTACCGGTACTCTTTCTACCCCTGTTTGAAAACGTGTCCAAGTGCAAAAAGACTGGAGACTTTCCCGTACGTTGCAAGACTTTTTAAAACATTCAAACCTGACTTTTAATCAGGGGCACTCACCTCTTTTCCCTTAGATTCTCAAATTAAAAAAAAAAAAAAAAAATGACAACAGTCAACAAAACAATAGCTATCTGGTGTGAATGAATCAAAGTTATACTTTTTTTTTTTAATTTCTTTTGTCAGATTGGTAAAAACATTTTTTGGTGTGCTGCAACATTTTAGTAATTAGTTTATGTGTGCCATGAGATGAAAAGGGTTGAAAATCGCTGGGTTAGACAATTCCCAGCAAAGGGAAGCCCCAGAACACAAACTTTGGCAATCTGGCTCCTGAGCCAAGCTCCTAATTATTATGCCCTACTGCCTAAAAATGGCAATACATCATACATTGGCAATACACTCTAATTTAAGAGCACTTTCCCAATACTAGATTTATATTTTTCCTTTTTCTAAATGTATGTATTTTTATTGATTCCAGAGAGGGAGAGAAACATCAATGATGAGAGAGAATCATGGATCAGACACCCACACAGGGGATGGAGCCCACAACGCAGACCTGTGCCCTCATCAGAGTGGAACCATGACCTCCTAGTTCACAGGTCAATGCTCAACCACTGAGCCAGGCTGGCTGGGCCCCAAGACTAGACTTAACAAGTGATCACCTTCTAAGTTACTTAAATGCCTATTCACTATGTGGTACACCTGAAACTAATACAATATTGTTTGTCAACTGTAATTGAAAAATAAAGGACATTTAAAACTAATCGGCTATTATATATTCTGCCACGTATTTTTTCCAAGTTTGTTTTTAACTACTAGTATAAATACTGCTGTTTGACAGATTGAATTTTAAACTTATGTGTACTTAAAAAAACAACAAAAAAGTTTATGCACCCGGTACTGTTCTAAATATATTCAATAACCTTAAGTTTAAACCTAATAAGACAGTGTTATGCGGTTATTCATTCTGCATGCGTTGTTTGATGCTTACTGTATGCCAGGCACTGTACTAGTTTCTGGGCATCTAGTGATGACAAGAGTCACACAGGGTGACCATAGAGCAGAACATTTAAAACTGAAACTGCCTCGGAAAACCTAGATTAACTGCTGTAATTAGACATCTTAGCTTGTTGGGTATTAGAAAACAAAAAACGATCAGCATCATTAGACGCTCCCAAGAGCCGATGCCTGGGAGGAAGGACTAACCCCATCTTACAAATGAGAAGCAGAGGCCAGAAGCGCTGGGGGCCGAGAGCCCTGGGATCCCCCAGCCCTCCCAGCGGAGGCAGGAAGCCCACGGAAGGAAAAGAGGGTTCCCGGGCGCACCCGCCCCCTCTGCGCAGTGGGGGCCTTAGGAGCGCTGGGAGCGATGGGGACGGTGCGGGCGCTGGGGCTCCCGCGCCGCGTGAGTTCCGGGAGGGCGGGGAAACCCCAGGACCGCCGGGCCCCCTGGGGAAACTCGGAGCCCAGGCTCCCCGGGGCCGGGCCCTGGGAGCCAAGGCTCCCCGGGGCCCGGGCCCGCGCAGCTGCGGGGCGCTCCGCTGGCCCGGGAAGTCCCGCCCCCCGCACGTGGGCGCCGGCCCGCTGCCTGCGGGCTGGTCTCCTCATGGGAAGCCTCACTCACCCAGGGCCGCGCAGGGATCCAGCACAGTCACCGCGCTGCGGTTCCCAGCCTTTGGGATTGACACGCGGTTCCAAGGCTCCGGGCGGCGCAGCACAGCAGCCATCTTGGGAGGCGGGGACTGGACTGCGGGGGGCGGGGCAGCAAGCGGCGGGGGTGGGGCTGAGGGAGGCGGGGCAGCGAGTGGTGGGGGCGGGGCTGAGGGAGGAGTGTCAGCGAGTGAGGGGGTTCTGAGGCAGGGGCGGGACTGAGGCGGGGCTGAGGGAGGGGGTTCGGCCAGAGAAGTGGGCGGGGCAGCGAGCGGCGGAGGTGGGTGGGGCTGAGATAGGTGGGTTAGCGGAAGAGGGGACGGGACTGAGGGGGCGGGTCGGCGAGAAGCGGGAGCCGGGCTGAGGGAGGCGAGGCTGAGAGAAGAATCAGCGAGTAGCGTGAAAGGGCGGGGCTGAGGGAGGCGGGTCAGCGAGGGGCGGGAGGCGGGACTGAGGGAGGCGGGGATGGGCGGAACCGCGGAACCACCGGGGAGCTGAGACCAATCGGGGGACGGAGAGGGAGGGGCGGGGCCTGCACGGAATTGTGGACCAAACCCTGAAATGCAAAAGACCCAGGTAGTCAGGGAAAACTGGGTGCTCATCAGCATCACTTGGGAGAGTGTGGGGGAAAGCCCAGTCCTGGAATTAGTCAGATTCTGGGAGATGGGGCGAGGAATCTGCCTTTGGTTTATGCTCTTACCCACAGGGGATTTTAAGGCACAACCAACTTTGGAACTACAGTATTTCAAGGCATTTTACAGATGAGGAAACTGAGGCCCAGAGTTGAGTTGGCATATGCACTCCACCTCAGACATTAGGGGAAAAGAAAGCAACGAAATAAAGAGGATTATACAAAGTAGAAGTTGTAACTCAGGAGTGATTTCCTTTGAGATAGTCAGGGCCCCTCTATCTTGAGCAACAGCAAAACCAGAATCATATCAAAGAAACTTGTATGTTGGCTGACTATCAATTTCATCCTCAATATAAGACTAGACAATATTCCGCCAAGACCAGTTTGCCTCAGTGGATAGAGCATCAGCCTGCTGACTGAAAGGTCCCAGGTTCAATTCCAGTCAAGGTCATGTACCTTCCTTGCAGGCACATCCCCAGTGGGGGGCGTGCAGGAGGCAGCTGATCCATGTTTCTCCCTCATCGATGTTTCTGAATTTCTATTCCTCTTCTATCCTCTCTGTATAAAATCAATAATATATATATATATATACATACACACACACACACACACACACACACACACATATATATATATATATGGAGAGAAAGAGAGAGAGAGGTAGATAGATAAGCTAGACAATATTTCAAGTTGTGCTGATTTCACCTCATTATTATCATTCTAATAGTTAATTTATCTTCAACCACACTGATGCCACCTTACTAAGCAGTTAAGGCTCCCACAGTTGTGTATTAGAGAGGCAGTTAGTGGATTTTGGAGACACACTGCCAAGATTCTAATTAAAGCTCTGCTGGTTTGCTGGCCCTGTGCTGTCAGGAAAATTACTTAATTCCGCCAAACCTTAATATCCCTATAGTAAAATGAAGATAATAATAGTCTCCACTTCACATATAAATGCTTTAGAACAGTGCCTGGCATGCAAATAAACATCAGAATTAATATACTTGATATTACTTCTAATGTTTAATATACAAAGCACTGCCTTGTTGAAAACACTTCCCATGCTCCCTGTGTGCCTTGCACTCACTAACTTCTCTACCTGAACCATCCTGAAATATAGTCTTCCTTCCTCAGCTCTAGTGTCATCACCTCCAAGCAATTCTTTCTGAATGTTCCTTCTCCACTCCATAACCCCTTTATGTATAACTACCGTTGGCCTCTGTATTAGCTTCCTGTTGCTGCTGTAACAAATTATTACAAACTAGTCACTTGAAACAATAATACAATCATATTACATTTCTGAAGGTCAGAAGTTCAAAATTAATCTCCCTGGACTAAAATCAGCAGGGCTGGTTCCTTCTGGGGGCTCTAGTGGAGCATTCACTTCCTTGCTTTGTCCATCTTCTAGAGACCACCTGCATGTCTTGGTTCATGTCCTCACACCCCATTTTCAAGCATAGCACCTTCTAGTGTCCCTCCATTCTCTCTCTCATGCTATGGTGGCTAAGCCTACCTCCCTCTCAAAAGGACCCCAGTGATAACATTGAGCCACCAAAATAATGGGATAATTTCCCATCTCCGAATCTTAAATTTAATATCTACAAAATCTGCTTTGCAATGTAAAGTAAGATATAATTTCTGCTCTCTCCCTCTCTCTTCCCCTACACTTAAAAATCAATTTAAAAATTTTTATTTCAGTAACTGATTCTGGGATTTAGGATGTGGACATTATTTGGGGAAGGACATTGTGCAGCTACCAGACATTCACAAAATTTAGCTATTGTATTAATTTGTATCTTTGTATGTCTTGTTCTCCAATAGCATAAGAGTTTACTGAAGGCAGTACTATCAATATAGCTTATGAACTTTATGTCTCAATGTATTGCTCAGAGCTTGGGATGTGGTGGGACCTCAGTAAATTTTAGCAGCTTTATGAAGGTATGATTGATATACAAAGAACCATACGTACATATTTAATGTGTACAATTTCACAAGTTCGTCAATAGTCACTGCTTGAATAAGAGGCTTGATGAGGTCTAAATAAAGTAAATAATTGACCATTATGCATGGTCTTATTTCTAAACTCCCTATTTGTATCTGTGTGTTTATTTTTATGCCAGTACCATACTGTTTTGATTACTACAGCTTTGTAATATAGTATGAAGTCAGGGAGCATTATGCCTCCAGCTTTGTTTTTCTTTCTCAAGATTGCTTTGGCTATTCAGGGTCTTTTGTTATTCTGTACAAATTTTAGACTTGTTTGTTCTATTTCAGTGAAAAATGCCACTGGAATATCTACCATTTTGCTTCTTATTTCCCAGACTAAACTGTATGATCTTTTAGTTCATTCTTTTTATGACAAGATGCCATCACCTTGATAATTTAGACCTTTTCTCAGGATTTTTAAAAAACTATCATAACATTATTGTATCTGTTATTTATCTGTCTTAGTATATCCATTCATCCATGTGTCAGAATTAAAGTGATTACTTGGTTCCTCAGGATATATGGACTTCTATGGATCCATTATGACTTTTATGGGTATAGATATGGTGTAAACATGTATATTAAATAGGTAAACTCTTTTTTCTTGCATTGCTAATTCCCTTCTTGATAAAATACAGCATTTTGGACTTCTCTGACCAAACCTGCCTCCTTGAGAATAGTGCATAATGGTTCTTGGATTATAAATGGAGTTATACATATATATTTTAAAGGAGAAATACAAGTTAGATAGTCCACACACTAATTATGACACTTTGAAATCATTTACAATGTTTCTGTCATTACAATCAGTTCTTATTTGCTTGGAATTTAACTAGATAGAAAACCACAGAAGTGATCATACTGTGCCTATTTATATATTCCTTCTATACTGTTTATAACAATAGACTGATCCCAGCATCAATCTTTAGGAGCCTTTCACCATTTATACTTCTCCACTCAGCTGGGGCAGAGTTCAGACATGAAGGTTAGAACTTAACTTTTGACTTTAGGTTTAAAGGCCAAACCTGTCTGGATTACCTGTCTATTCCCATTTCCACCTTTCTCCTATAAAGGTCATACAGGAAGAGAAAGAAATAAAATCTAACTTATTTTATAATAATTATTCTATGATGGAGCCAATATCCATCCAGAGGGATGGACTGGGATTTGGTCATGCTAGTAAAAGCAAGGATTATATTTAACTACTTTCTAAATTGGGTTTAGAAAACTATGGAGTACAGGATGCCAAGTTCCTTTATGTGGTCACTGTGGTATAGTGAACGCTGATGTACTTGAAAGTCAGTCGACTCCTGTTGTCTCAATTCTTGGACTTTAAGTGCTGTTGGCTTCTATAGTGTTTTGGTCATGTACGGTAGGGGCAGCGGTCATTCCAGGGTTATGCAGCAGTGAATGCTGGCATATCTAAAGAAGAGAACTCTTGCCCTCGCTGGTATGGCGCAGTTGGTTGAAATGTCATCCCATACACCAAGAAGTAGCAGGTTTGATTCCTGGTCAGGGCATATTATGCAGTGTGGGTTCAATCCAAGGTTGCAACACATGTGGGAACCAACCCATCATGTTTCTCTCTCCTTCCCTTCCTCTCTCTAAAATCAAATTTTTCAAAAAGTAAAAACACCCCCACCCCAACAAACAAGCAACAGAAGAAGAAGAAGAAGAAGAAGAAGAAGAAGAAGAAGAAGAAGAAGAAGAAGAAGAAGAAGAAGGAGGAGGAGGAGGAAGAAGAGGAAGAGGAGGAGGAGGAGGAGGAGGAGGAGGAGGAGGAGAAGGAGGAGGAGGAGGGAAAGGGAATTCCCCTAAAAAGAACTAGGGATGAGAAACAAAGATGGCGGCATAGGGTAGACATCCGAATGCAGCCTACCAGAATAAATTTGAATTTAGAACTAGAAAACAGGGGAGGTATTGCCCGGAAACACTGGACAGCTAACTGAGAGGAGGCTCTGCCATTTGGGAAGGAGAGAGGAGGCACACTGAACCTCAGGATCTGTGAAGGTACAGAGAACTGTGTGCTCCCGAAAAGGTGCTGGCTTACTCCTAGAGCGCAAAGAGGAAGGGCCGGACCGAGATTGCTGCTAGCGGGGTGAGCAGAGAGGGTGGGCCGGGCTGAGTTTACTACTGGCTTACTCCTGGCATTCTGAGAGGGCGGACAGCTAACCCTCTGCTGCTTTCTTGTTCTAGAGGAAAACAGAATCACCCTATTGCTCTGATAGATGTCCCCAGACAGGGAGAGGCCAGACTGTCAGGCAGCGGGCAGAGATCTCTAGGAGGTGTGTGAAGCCAGAGGCCATTACTGCGGGACTTGGGGAGGAGCCACTTGGGGAGGAGCCGACGGGAAAACAAAGCTTGTCTGCACCAACAGGAGATTCCTCCCCATCCAAGCTGAGCACAAAAGCTCTCCCAGAGGCTGGCTTTCTCTAAAGAGAGACTGGCCGGAATCCAAAG